TATTTGTTGCGCTGCTGATGACGTCAGGTACGCGGTTTCGTCGAGCGCGCTTTAGTCGACCGCGGTTTTGTGGTGGAACCGATGGAGCAGGGCAAAATAAGGAAGGTCCGGAATAGCATCAGCCGAGCAAAGGGCCGAGTGGGTCCCCGGAATCTCGGCCAAGCTCCTCATCTCTGGAGAGACCTGAAATTGCCCCCCTGAAAGTCAGAGGGAAACAGAACGGGGAGGCTTCAGATGAGCCCTTCCCAGAAAGAACAAAGGAAGCTTGGAACCAACTGTCAGCAGAGACAGGGGCTCAGTCACCAGGAACTGAGTTTAACCATGCTTGGGATAAACATACATCTATCACCCGACAAAAACCTTAAAAAATAGTAAATTATTAAAAGAAAAATAATAAATAAAAAAGAAATCAACAAACAGTAAACTCAAAGGGCAGCCTCAATGGACCAGTACATCTTTTTCTGCCACCAGGTTTCCATGCTTCTATGACAACCTATCCCTGCTCCATTCAATCTGAAACTGGATTTGCAACAGGATGAACAAGGCTACTGAAGCATATCGAAAGAAAGGAAGGAAGGAAGGAAGGAAGGAAGGAAGGAAGGAAGGAAGGAAGGAAGGAAGGAAGGAGGGAAGGAAGGAAGGAAGGAAGGAAGGAAGATGTATCTTTGCTATGCCTGGAAGCTGCCTACAAAAGGCTCAGTATTGATCCCAGGATTTTCTGTTTCACAGCAGTCCATATGGCTTCAGTGTTATAAATGATCTAGATGAGGGGATAAAAGGGGAACTCATTCAATTTGCAAATGACACCAAACTGGGAGGAATAGCCAACACTCCAGAAGACAGACAAGATTCAGACTTGAGCACTGCACCCGATCTAACAGGATGCAGTTCAGTGGTGAGAAAAGTCAGGTCCTGCACCTAGGCAGCAAAAACCAAATGCAGATACAGAATAGAAGGTACCTGCCCCAACAGTAATAATTGTGAGGGGGATCTAGGAGTCCGAGTGGATCACCACTTCCTACGAGTTAGCTGCCAAAAAAAGCCCACACAGTTCTAGGATGGATCAATAGAGGAACAGTATCAAGATCATGAGAAATGATCGTTCTGTTCTACACTGCGCCAGTGAAACCACAGTTGGAGTATTGCATCCAGTTTTGGTTACCACAATACATAAAAGATATAGAGACCCTGGAAAGAATGCACAGAAGAGCAACAAAGATGATTAGGAGGATGGAGGGTAAGTCATATAATAAACACCTAAGGGGACTGGGTATATTTAGCCAAAGGAAGAGAAGGTGGAGGGGAGACAACATAGCCATTTTCTAATACTTGAGGGGCTGTCACAGGTAAAAGGACATTAGGTTCCTCTCCAGAGCACCTGGGGGCAGGACAAAAAGCAGTGGGTGGAAGCTTGGCAGGTGGAGAGTCAACTTGGAAATAAGGAGGAATTTTCTGATGGCAAGAACGATTCTCTAACCCAATCTTTTAAAGCATTGCTGTTTTCCTTGGGTTAGGGTGTTTGTGCAAACCCTGGATGGCTGGTTGTTGTGCAGTTTGTCTGAATGCTGGTTTGGAAGTTCTTTTGGTGGTTTTCTCATTTTAAGTATAAGCTACCAGAGTCATGATGAAGTTAGGCAGCAGGTGGGAGGCCTGGTCAAAGCACAAGACTGCCTTCAGTTCACCTGCTCCATCTTCTGCTGCAGGGGGATACCTGCACTGCCCCAGTTATTCTTTGGGGCACAGAGCATCTGCCCTTGAGCTCTGCCACTTCAGCCTCCCCTGGCCGTGCCCAAGTGCAAAGTCCTTCACAAGACAAATGCACTTTCCAAGATTTGGGATAAATAATCTTCATGTTCCCTTACACCACTAGTGTTATCTCTGAAACAATGTTTAGCTTTGTTGTCCTGATTTATTGCTGCAAATTGTTAATTAGCAACATTTAATGGCATCATAGGGGACATATTGAAACAGGAACAACGGAAGAGAAATTGGCAAACACAAATTTCTATAGTTTTACAAAAAATTGAACTTTGGGGAGGAAATAATTAAAGCCTTATTCTACAAAGAACATGGTTGAGGCAGGCAGCCGTTCGGTGCACTGAGCACTTCCAACTCTATCTTAAAACTGCTCTTTAGGTATCCCAGATATAATATGCATCAAACAGTAATTAACGTACTTAAATTCAGATGGTAAATACAACTTGCCAAGTCTTAAGAAGTTGAGAACATGTCGAAACATTTTTCCATCTCCATGAATGAGGAGACTCTGGCCATAAGCAATCCAATATACCTTTTTGCAATTTGACAACAACTCTGGAAACTGAAAAAAAAGTTAAGAGATTTCAAATCAACTCCTTCCATAAGTTTTCTCTCAAACCGAAAAGACTATTATCCTTACCACCACCCAGATTTATATTCTAAAGAACTAGATAGATCACAATGACAGAGTAAGATCAGATGCAAATGACTGACGTTGTTAGCATCAAATCAACATGGGACGTGGAGGCTGTCCACTTTGCTCAGCCTGCAGGTGGCCCAAGTTCCTTGTCCCCACAAAGCCTGGCCTTCCTCATTCCAGGGTTCCAGAAGGGAAACAGTCACTGGAGTTTGCAGCAGTAAAAATGTATTTTGTTCACTTTTACCATGGCATAGATATTTTGTAAAAAAAAATCAGATGCATTGATTGTCCTGAGTCTCAAGTCAGGGAAAAAATGCTTTTATCACTTTGGTTAGTCTTTAAAAGTCTAAAACTGCAATGCCACAGCAGCCCAATGTAGTACAGGTAGCCTTCAAGTTATGACCGTAATGAAGGCTGCCCATTAGGGCCAAAAATTGGGACAAGATTAAATGAACTACATCAAGTCAAGTAACAACCAGCATCCCCTGCTTCCCCCACCCTGGGCATCCCTTAAATGAATGTGTGGGTCATTAAGTGGAGCTCAGAGGTGGGGGAGACCCTGGGAGGCAGGCACCGGTCCACCTGCCTGGGCTCCCCAAGGCCTCTCTCACTGCCAGGATACCCCATGGTCCACTTTCTGTCCCCAGAGGGCTCACACACATGTCTGCTGTGCAGTTGGCTATCTTGCCAGCGAGAAACAAGGGGGAAGGAAAATGCAGGGTGTCCCTGCCTTTCCAGGTTCTGCCACCACCCTTCCTCCTGGCCAGGTGCCCCTGCCTTTCTGGGGCAAACAAGGGCCAGGCCTCTTGCCTGTCAGATGGCCAGGTCATTGGGGCAAGGAGCTCTGAACGCAGAGGCCATTTCTACAAAGAATTGCTGGAGTACTGAAAATTGCGGTCTCTTCCATGAGGCCTGGGGAGCAGACCCAATGCATTGGGAGGTCCTGTCAGGGCAGGATGGAGGGCAAGAGAGGTGGGGGGAGGGGGGCTTAAGCATTCCCATGACCATAATGGCAATAAGGGCAAATGACCAATGAGGGACATTGTAACTTTGAAACAGTATGTAATTTTGGGGTGTCCATAACTCTGAACATTTATTAAGGGACCTGTCATATCTTGAGCACTGCCTGTACCAAGGGATCCAGATGTTCCTTGGTTACCCTATTCTCAGATATAATAATTTTAAAATGCCACAGTCTCAAGCAAAATGACCAAATCCTGTGCCATCATGCTCAATTAGTAAATAGCTCTAAAAGTTGGGGAAAATGTGGATTGGAAAGTTACTGTCATCTTCCAAGAGAGACTAAGGACACTGCCAGGCAGCCCCTCTAGAATGGGACCCATCAGCAGAAGAGCTACTGGTACAAGACTGGCTGAAGTTCACCCTCCGAGCCCTGCCCAGCCTTACTCCCAAGACTAGCAGGAGGAAGGCACAGCCCTTCCCACTGGTAATAGCAGCAGCAGAGCACCAGGGACCAGTTTCGTGGAAAACAATTCCAGGGCCTGGGTTGGGGACCTTGAGGGCTTGCTTCCCTCCCCCCCCCCCAAAAATCCCCTGCCAGCAGGAAAACTGCCAACCGATTGCTCTCCTTAAAGGGGGGGGAGGGAGGACAGGGTTGGGCAGGCTTGGGAGAGTCTTTGGGCAGAGCCTTTTCTCAGGTTGCCCAACTCACAGTCCAACCATGTTGAGGAGGGAACTTCATGGACTTTCCTTCCCTCTTCCTCCAGCAATCCTCCTGCATGTCTTTGGCAGTCAGGATAGAAGGAGAAGGGTGGGGGCAGAGCTAGGAAAAAGGAGCATCCTCTGAATAACCTCCAGTGGCAAGTAACCTCCAATCTCTTGCACAGGAGACAAAATGGCTCAAAGTCCTAAAAACAATAGAATGTCCAGTTTGGCGTCAGCAAAAAAAAGAAAACAGAACAAACAAAAGAAAATTTCTTGGGAGGAGAACTGGCATCACCCAGCTGGCAATCTCTAGCTCTTTCAAAGAAATTCTGCACATAGGTTTCCAGAAAGTCTCCTTATGACTGACGAGCCTTTTGGAAACTCCAGTCCACATTTTGCCAGGAGACAGAAACCCACTGCCTGCTGTCTCCTGCACTCCCACCCAAATGGCGGTGGAAGGCAGATGAGCCCACTACATGGCCAACCCCTGTTGAAGGTGAGGCCCGTGATAAAAATTGGGTTAGAAGGGGAGAGCAATCCCTCGAGTCTGGGCTGAGGATGGGAGAAGAATCCCAGGGCTTGTTGGTGCAGTGGTTAGGGGAAAACGAGGATGAGCTCTCTAAGGTACTTTCCCACAGTCACCAGCATTCAGGAGAGAGAGGGAATGGATGACACTGGAATTCTCTCACCCACCCCAGCCTGCATTTCTCCAGGAGCAGCACAATAAAAAGCACAACAAAAACCATGAGAGGTCAATTTTCAAGTTCTCTGTGCAATCTGCCATATGTATTCTGGGCTTAGTTACACAACATGTTTTCTCTGTATCTGTTTAGAACAAGCAGTTTAAATGTCCCAAAGGTGCTTTTTCATGAGGCAACTGGACTTTCTTCTTTTTCTTTGAAGATGTTTCGCTTCTCATCCAAGAACACAGTACAACACAATCCTTTCAGCAGTTCCAAGAGGGCTCCACACCCATTTGCACTACTCAGGGGCACTAAGGACAAACATAAACCTCCAAGTACCCTCAACGATTCTCTAAAAGAATGCAAGGAGTATCAATCCTTCTCTTTCCCCACCATCCAGTCAGAGCTGAAGAAGCTTCTTGGATGAGGAGTGAAACATCTTCAAAGAAAAACCAGAAAGTCCAAATGCCTCTTGAAAAAGCCCCTTTGGGACAAGCGTGACATGGATGACGGAGAATCTCCCAAGACCTTTAGCTAAGCAGCCTAAATATCGACCACTCTAGAGCAAGCAACATAAAGATACTTAATAATGATACCTTTAATAACGTTTGCAAATAGGTGGCATACCAGTGACTTCCTACATAGACTTTGACAATATGATGGAGGGAAAAAGCTGTTATTTCTGCTGCCCACTCTGCATCTACAAAACACAATCCAAACAGCAGAAGGTCTACTTTTATACTTTTGCAACACAAAGGAATGGATTCATGGAGGGATGAAATATGCCCAGCCACTTGAACCACACAATTTCCTTGCAAATGATTGGCTCAGGGAAGGAAATCAGAGAAAATTCATTACTGGCTCAAACCATACAACAATTCTAAGATCCACCTCACAAGTTCCATTAGCAAGCCAGAGATGCCTTGGCCTATATGCTAGATCATTTTGTGGGAATTCTCAACTATGTTGTGCAGTTGACCTAAGTGTGTGAGCTGAATCTGTACAATATATTAACCTAAAACATGACTGGACAATTTCAGGGTGTCCAATGAAGAAAGCCCTTTGGGTCAATGGCCCTCCCTTCCAAGTAAATGCTTGGAAAGAGTCCCTAAAAAGGCCTAAGCAACTTTTTAATTTTCTTCTCCCACTAAGGGAAAACATCAATTATTCTATCACATATTCATCCTTTAAAAAGTAAATTCTCCTTCAAGTTCAGTTTGGCCCCCCCGATGACTGTCCCCCCCTGTTCTGCAGCAACACAGGAGACATTTTATTTGCCGCAGCCTTTTTCACAGGGTTTTTTCCTTACCCAGATCTTTAATCTGTGAATGATTCCCACAACACAGTTTCATGTGCATAATATACATCTCAAGGGAGGCACGACTTACTTTTTATCAGGGAATCTGTGGGCATCTTCGGGTTTAGAAATCTTTTTAAAGCATCCTTCATTGGCTCATAGATGAGATCCATTTGATCCAAATACGTGCAAAGGTGTGGAAGTTCAGACATATTTCGTGTAAGTGGAAGTCTGCAAGTTCCTAACCAATTCCTTTGCACAGAAAAAGAGAAAGACTTGCCAGAAATGTAGGTATTTTTAATCATTCCTATTTTAAGGCAGCTACTGGATTATTTCTTTCCATCCTTTCATCTTTATACAGAATTTTTACCTAGTGCTTTTCTTCTTTATATACATATATCAGATTTCCTTACTCTACTTTAAAAAAACAATACAGCTCCTCCTTATCATATGCATTTTAATTTGCCATTAAACCTTGCTTAAGAGATACTGTTAGCAGTGTACTTTCACTTCATTACATAAAATATTGAACAGTTAGAAACCAAAGCTTCTGTGTCATAAGGTCAACATATTGTTTGCCTCCATGCAGAAGCCAGGCCTTGGCTGTTAAAATAAAATGTAGAAAGCATAATTTAGGACAAAACAAGTTCCAACAGAAGAGTTCAGGACTGTTATTCAGATGAGGGTGTAACTGTGGTGCTCTCTGAGCTTCATGGTTTGCTTGCAGACATTTCATTACCTGACTAGATAGCAACATCAGTGCAAGGGAGTGTGGGTTTCCCCCTATATATGTATAGCAATTTGCTTTGCCAGGGTTGGGGGGGGGGGGAGTTTCTCCTTGATATTTCCATGATTAGGTTATTGTTTTCTGTTCGACTATCAATCAAGACGACTGACTGACATTCCCATAAAACCATCCAGTGGCCTTAAAGGAGCCACCAAATGCTACCCTTACTTACTACAGGGCACTACAAAAATGCTCCCATGATATAACTCTGTCTACTCCGACAGAGATTCCCCAGGACAAAATCAGCACCCCTCAAAGAAGTTAAAACCACTCCATGGGATCCATGCGGGTCCTGGGAGCAGCCGGCTAGAAAATGGATCCAGAAGGAAAAACAGCCAATTGCCAAACACGGCTCACGGCTCTCAGCATAAAGAGCAGTGGTGGGATTCAGCCAGTTCACACTTATTCGGGAGAACCGGTTGGTAACTTTCTAAGTAGTTCAG